TTAAGGAGGGATAATGAGGGAGGGGGGATGAAATAAACAATTAGAACATGGGAAGAAAGGAAAAAATCTAAAGGGAAGAAGAGGAGGGAAAAAAAGACCTGCAGAGAAAGAGAAAGAGGGTGAACGAGTGTAGACTGCATGGTGGTGTGATGAATGACTTGTCTCTGGGGTCCCACTCCTCCATCTGTCCATCCCACCCGCCTCTTTGCCTCCCTCCCTCTCACTCTTCCCTCTTTCTTCTTCAACTCATCTTCCTCTGTTTTCTCTGCTCTGTCATTCCTACTTCTGTCCCTCTTCTTCTTGTCATCCCGCTCTTCTTCCCTTTCTTGCTTTTTTCCTCCTTCTACATCTCTCTTCCTCATTCTCTCCTTTATTTCTCCCTTCTTGTCAACTCAGCTGCCTTTTTGCACTCTCATTCCTTCTTCAGTACTTCATCCCACCATTTTTCTTTTGCTTCTACCTTTTCTTCCTCTCCTTTCTTTCTCCCTCTTTTCTCCCTTATCTTTCTTGCTTCATTCTTTCCTTTAATTCTTTTCCTTTTCCCCCTCACATCTATCATTTCTCCTCCTTCCTTATCCCTCCTATCTTTTCTAGACTCATCTCTTTCTTCTTCCTTTGACCTGTTATTCTTTTTTCAAGTTTCCTGTTTTGTTTTTCTATTCTGTATGGCCTTTTAATTCCCTTTTTATTTCCCTTATTCTTTTTAATTCCTCCTTATTTTTTCTCTCTTTTCATCCCCCTCTCTCTTCCTCAACTTTTCTTGCACCTATTTCAGTCCATCCTTGCTTCGTCTTTATTCCCCCTCCTCTTCTCTACCCTTTCTTTCTTCCTTTTTAAAAATCTCATTCCTTTAATGTCTCCTTTCCTGGTCCTCCCTCTTCCTTGCCTCTGTGCATTTTTCTCACCCCATTCCTTATCTCCTTCCTCCTTTTTTCCCTGTCTCACCTAACATACTCCCTCAAAATTTCCACTCCTTTCTCCCCCTTTTTATTTTTCATTTAATTTCATCCCTGGTCTTCTCCCTTTCTTTCCTCCTTTCAATTTTCATCTCCTTTATCTCCTTTATTCTTTCCTGTTTTTTTCCTTCTTCTGTCACTCGCCTCAGTTTTCTCTCCTCTCTTTCATTTCTAACTTCTTATCTGCCATCTTTCTCCCTGTCTCAACTTTCTTGCCTTCACCCTTTCCTCTTTTTTTGTTCTGGTCCTCCCTTCTTCCTTTTCTCCATTCCTCTATGCTTTTTATCTTTCACCTCATTCCACTGCTTCTGCCCTTTCCCCCCTTCCCTCTTTCATTCTTAACTCTTCACCTGCCATCTTGCTCTGCTTCTTCTCTTCCTTTCTTTTCTCCCTTTTCTTTCCTTCTGTTCTGTCCTTATGCCCTACACTTCCCCTGTTTCATTCTCTTTTACTTCATTGCTCACTTCACACTTGCCATTTTGCTCCCTCTTCCCTCCTCCCTCTCCTCCACTAATTCATCACTCCCTCCCTCTTATTCTGCATCTCCATTTGTATCCTCCTTTCTTATTCCATTCCTTTTCATCTCATTTTGCCAATTTTCTTTTTCCTTTCCATCTTTTCCATCCCTCCCTTCATCCATCCTTCCCTCTGTCCCCTTGACAGTGACTGTTGGCCTTTCTCTCCCTCCCTCTCTCTCTCCAGGATAAATAAAACATGGTTGTGTTTAGTGACATATGGACACAGCTCACTGTGGCATACTAATGACACACACACACAGTGCACGAACACATCAGGTGTGTGTGTGTGTGCACACAGAAGTGTATGTGTTTGTTGAACATTAGTGGAACCCAGAGAAAACATTTGCTCACTTATGATCGCTCATTAGCTCACACACAGACACACACACACTACATATATGCTACACACACTTGGCAGTTGTCGGATGTCGCACACATGCAGAGTTGGTCGTCTTAGTGGCCCTGCGTCCATGGAGACGCCACGTTGCCGGGGGAGACGGGTTGTTGTTTACGACCTTGCGGGCACCGCGGTGATGGGGGCACTGGCCAATCACAGATGGACATTTATCACACTGTTAGAAAACAGAGTGAGAGGAGAGAGAGAGTTTGGAGAAAGAGTGAGAAGAAGGCAAAGGATAAGAGGGAAAAGATAAACAGAAGAGGAGGGAAGGAAGATAAGGGAGGATAATTTCAGAGGCGGCAACAGAGGGATGAGTTGAGAGTGATAAAAAGAGGAAGGATAGAAGAAGATGACAGCTACAGGAGGAGGGAAAACTAGAAGGCAAAGTGCTGGAAGGAACAGAGTGCTAAAATAAAAGTGGGGGGGTTAAGAGAAAAGATGTAAGGAAGAAGATGAGAGAATAAGGCTAAAGATGGAAGATGGACATTTTCTTCATCCCCTCCCTCCTCTTTGTATTTCTTACTTCAGTTCCTACTTCTCCCCCTTATGTTTTTTTCTCTCCTTTCATGTATCCTCTCCCATGTTCCCTTTCTTCCTTGTCCTTTTATTTCTTCACCCTTCCTCTTTTCTGCATTCCCTTCCTTTTTCCTTTCACTTGTTCTTTCTGTCCTTCCTTTACTCTCTCATTTCTTTTTCTCTTTTTCTTCCTCTTCTCTCCTCCGTTCTTGACCCCCCAGTTTCAATGTTTCCTCACCTCCTTTTTTACATTTCCTTCCCTTTATTTTGAAAGAGGAAGAAGTGAGAGAAAGCTGAAAACAGATGGAAGAAGAACAGAGGGGAGGATGTAAGATGAAAAAAGATGCTGATATGGGAGGTGGGATAAGAGAAGGAGTAAGACAAGATAAAAGACGGGTGAATGAAGAATTGTGAAAAGATGGCCATAGATGGAAGAAAAGGAAACTGCAAAGAGAAGATGGTGCTATGGGAAGATGGAAAATAAAAGATGGGAAAAAGTAGAGGAAGGCACAAGGTGGATAAAGGATTAAAAATGACTAAGAAAGTAAACTGTTAAAACAGAGAAATAAGATGATGGGCAGATGAGGGAAAGGAAAAAGGAAGGATGAAGAGAGGATAAAAAAAGAGTGAAGAAGGGAGGAGGCATAAATGACATCAAGAGAGTGATATCAGTTTAATTGGCCTCATCTTCCTTAACAAAGAAGCTGTAATGATAAGCGTGGGTGTGTGTGTGGTAACCTATGCAGGGTGCTGCGGCACTCATTTGACTTGTTAATTCACTTCAAATACAGCTCAATGGTTCGCCTTGTCTTCTAAAACACACACACACATTTCACACACACCCACACTTCACATAAACACACAAACATTTTGGATACAAAGACACATAAACCACAACCACTTCACAAACCCACGTACACAGACATTTTTTGAATGCACATAGTTTGTACAAATTTGGTACGCACATGCAATCAGCACATACAAGACTTTTTAACTCAAATACATTTTGCAGGGACAGGCATAAACATAAACAAATCTGGAGCACAAGCACACACACACACACACACACACACATTGCTTGTT